TTCCCTACCTGCTCTATCCCATGCATAATCTTATAAACCTCGATCATGTCACCCCTTGAATGGCTTCTCCGTTGAGAATAATTTCCTCCCGATGCTTAAATGGGACAGTATCAGGGTTGGTCAAATGAATCCTCACCCTTGAAGGTGGGTCTAACTCCTGAAGATTAAAGTCTGTTGGTTTCAGTGGGGGTGCTAGGGTGGTCTTTCCCCCTAGAGGTAGGAAGGTTGGGGCTGATTCCCCTTTTGCTTTTGAGGGCACTGAGAGTTGTAACATCCCTTGTCACTGCCCTTTGTAGATCCAGGTGGGCAGCTGTGCTGGTCTGAAGCAACAGAACAAAATTTGGAGTCCAGGGGCACCCTTAAGAGCAACAAAGTTTTATTCAAGGCTTTTGTGTGCAAGGCACACTTCCCCAGATACAGTGAAATGGAATTACAGATCATACTTGTATGTATACAAGGGTGGCTTGTTAAATTAGCATTCAAAATAGTGGTGTTTTTTAACAGATAAAATGAATGACAAGCTTGGTTTCTGGTTATTGTCTGTTTGGGTTCACCTGGGGGGGGGAAGAACAACACAGGTAATAAATACGTCAGAACTGGAGACTGATGTGCCCAAAATTGTGAGAATCCAGTCATTAGATCCCATCCATCTCCTTTCTAGCATGGAGGCAAACCTTAAAACATTTTTCCTTGTCCCCAGAACAGAGAGCTACATTTAAATCTACCATTCCAAATTACATTTTTGTTGTTCAGTCGCACAGTCGAGTCCGACTCTTTGCGACCCCATGGACCAGATCCCGCCAGGCCCTCCTGTCTTCTGCCGTCCTCTGAAGTTGGCTCAACTTCATGTTAGTTGCATCTATGACACTGTCTAACCATCTCATCCTTTGCCGTCCCCGTCTTCTTTGACCTTCAATTTTTCCCAGCATCAGGGTCTTCTCCAGTGAGTGCTCCCTTCTCATCTGGTGGCCAAAGTATTTGAGCTTCAGTTTCATTATCTGGCCTTCCAGGGAACAGTCAGGGTTGATTTCTTTTAGGATTGACTGATTTGATCTTCTTGCAGTCCAAGGGACTCTCAAGAGTCTTCTCCAGCACCAAAGTTCAAAAGAATCTATTCTTTGGCGCTCGACCTGCCTTATAGTGCAACTCTCGCAGCCATACATGACTACTACATGATTACATTACCCAGGGCTATTTTGGGGCAGGAACGCACAGGAACGGAGTTCCGGCTGGCTCCCAAGTTGGCCACCCCCGGAAAAAACTCCTTAGCATAACAGGCCACACCCAACAGCAGAAACTCATTAGGATTGGCTGCATTAGGGGTATGTGGCCTAACATGCAAATGAGTTCCTGCTACAAAAAAGCCCTGGGTTTTGACAACAAACAAGGTAAACAGAATAACAAGCAAAAGGTGGGTGTGGCTGGATAACCACACTTCTGATAACATGGGGGTGTGGTCTATGTGCTAATGAGCTGTGCTATCAGGGGTGTGGCCCAATATGCTAATGAGTTCCTGTTGTTCGGTGTGGCCTATTATGCTAATGAGTTCCTGCTGGGCTTTTTCTACAAAAAGAGCCCTGATACCTATTGAATTATGTTCTTCGTTGTTAAGAGTAGTAAACTGAGATTTTTTTAAAGTAACATTTTGCTTACTAAAACATGGAGTTAACTGAGAGAATCCTTCCCTGGGGTGCAGTGCCATTTGTGGCAGTGACATTCTATAAGCCAATCATGAACTTGGGCGTCGACCCTGTCAATTGTAACGGGACCCTTAACCTCCCAAAAATTTGACAAAAAGGAGTGTTGTGTATGGGGACTGGAACATTCCAGGACTGTTTCTACCAGAGACTGGCTGAGCTTGGAGCTCTAGAACAAAAGCTCACCAGGACTCTGGAGGTGGCCAATGGGGAATTAAGGGTTCTGATAATGGCCTATCGTTGGTAGTTGTTTGGGAAGTGGGTGGAGTTGCACGCTGTTTAACAGGGCCGTTGCCCTGGCGGTGTCTTTTGTCTCTGTCTTGTTCTTGCTGAATCACCAATAAAGCAGACCTGGTCACTGTGCTTGGGATCGGACCATCCATGGAACTCAGTATTTAACAAGGAGAAAGATGGATTTCTTTCTCTTTCGGGTGAACAATGAGGGGCAAGTTCTTTTTGAAATTATTTCATACTGTGGAATGGCTTACCTTTGTACTTGGGAATACGCTTCGTTGAACTCTGGATTACTTCTGAGTGAACCTGCGTAGGATGAAACAGCGCGGCAGCTATCTTCAACATGTATTCTTGCACGCAGTAAAAAAGCAGGGGTGTCAAACATGCGGCCCAGGGGCCGGATCAGGCCCCTGGGGGGCTTCTATCAGGCCGGCAGTGGAACTGGCTGTCTTCTGCTACTTCTTCCAGTTCTGCTGCTGCTGCGTCATCGTAGGTTTGCAGCTTACAGATACACACCTGAACAGCATACTCAAGATTGCAACAGCACAGACATTTTGATGCAATAATTCAGGGCAAGAGGAGTCAGTTATCAGACACGGTTAAATAAACAAAATATTGCTAGAGTGCTAATGTGTTAAGCATGTTTCTATTTTATGTTAAAAAAAACTGTTTGTGTCTTTCATTTATTTATTTATTTATTTATTTAGGCATTTTTACCCCACCCTCCCCGTGAGCGGGCTCAGGGCGGCTTACAAGGGGCATGAGCCCATACATAAAACCAGATAAAACAGTAAAACGGTAAAATCACATGATAATACCAATAAGAGTAATAAAGTGCTTTCTGTAAACAAGACGGTCTTGAGTGGTGTTGATGGCATCCTCAATCCTCCCCATTGGGTGGCACTGTCCAGCAGATAGTTCAAAGCCAATCCCACATTGTCAGTGCCATGCAATTTATGGCGGAACTTCCAAGGGCGATTCCTCATCCCGATGGTATCGCCACCATTGGTGGTGGTGGTGGCGGCAGCGGCGGCCCCTATGCGAAAGCCTGGCGGAAGAGCTCCGTCTTGCAGGCCCTGCGGAACTGCATAAGGTCCCGCAGGCCTCTGATCTCCTCCGGGAGCTCATTCCACCAGGTAGGGGCCGCCACTGAGAAGGGTCTAGCCCTGGTCGCAGCAAGCTTTACCTCCCGGGGGCCTGGGATCACCAGGTGGTGTTGGGTCCCCGACCGAAGTGCTCTTGGGGGTATATGTGGGGAAAGGCGGTCCCTCAGGTAAGTCGGACCCTGGCCACGTAGGGCTTTATAGGTAAGTACCAGCACTTTGAAGCGGACTCGGTTTATATCTCCGCTGCCTGGCATTTCCTTTTATGACACGCATGGCCCCGCCCGACAAGGTCTCATTTATGTCAGATCTGGCCCTCATCACAAATGAGTTCGACACCCCTGCTCTGGAGCGTGTGTCTGTCCGGGCCGTTTCCCCCACCTGCCTGTACATGTTCTGTTCCACTTGTTCCCATCAACCACTTGCTGCTGCGTGTGTAGCCCTGTGCTCACCTTGTCCCTGGGAGACTAGGGTTGCCAGCCTCCAGGTGGCGGCTGGAGATGCAGTTGATCTCCAGGCGACGGGGTCAGTTCGCCTGGAGGAAAGGGCTGCTTTGGAAGGTGGACTTTATGGCCTTATGCCCCATTGAAATCCTTGCCCTACCTCAAACACACGGTCCTCAGGCTCCTCCCCAAAAATCTCCCAAAATTTCCCAACCTGGAGTTTTCAGCTGAACATTATGAAGAACCAGGGGTCATTTCCTGCCGGAGCGCACAGGAGCGGCGCTCCGGCAGTAAAGAGCCCAGGGGGCGGGCACAGGCAACAAGCCCCACCCTCTGCTCCCAGCATCCCTCAGGCAGAACAAGAAGCAGCCAGGTAAGCTGCAGAGCCCTCCCTACCCTGCCGCCCCAGTCCAAAACAGTCCAGTGGGACATTGTGGGACCTGACGTTTCGTCAGCAGCTGTGACTGGCATCCTCAGAGGTATAACACGGAAAGATGGAGTACCCTCTGTGTCAAGGTTGTGAAGAACTCCCTGACAGTTAGGGTGGTTCCTCAGTGGAACAGGCTTCCTCAGGAGCTGGTGGGCTCTCCTTCTTTGGAGGTTTTCAGACAGAGGCTGGATGGCCATCGGACAGCAATGCGGATTCTGTGAATTTAGGCAGATCGTGAGAGGGAGGGCAGGGAGGGTTGCCTCAGTGCTTAGTTCTTTTGGCCCTTTCTTACACGTCCAGGGAAACGCTGGTCACCACTTTGGGGTCAGGAAGCCATTTTTCTCCAGTCCAGTTTGGCTGGAGATCCTGGAGGGTTTTTTTGCCATCTTCTGGGCGTGGAACAGCTGTCACTGGGGTTGTGTGAGGGGGTGGTATTTGTGAATTTCCTGCATGGAGCAGGGGGTTGGACTAGATGACCCTGGAGGTCCCTTCCAATTCTATGAATCCATGATTCCAACCCTACGGGAGACACAAGCGCCAAATGCGAAAGAGGTCCTTTGTGGGTCTGCCAGCAAACTGAGGCTCACGCTCGTGTTGTCCTTCATTTTTAGGTCTGGAAGCGTCAAACACCACTGGATAGAAATCTATTCCTTTGTGGAAAGCCTGGCGGAAAAGTTCCTGAGGTGAAGTATGACCCCAGTGGGAGCTGGCGGCCGTGAATGTCGGCATTTCAACTTCCCTCCCCCTGTGTAAGCCCCATGAACCTCACTCTGCCGTGTCCAGTGTTCCCTCTAAGCTGAGCTAGTGTGAGCTGGCTCACAGTTTTTTAGCCTCCGGCTCACACATTTTTGTCTCAGCTCAGGAAGGAGGGCTCCAGAGCAAACTAATTTACGCAGTAGCCAAATTGCCCGCTCACAACTTGAATGCCGGTCGCTCACAAAACGGCATTTTTGCTCACAAGACTCCACGGCTTAGAGGGAACATTGGTGTCCCCTTTTTGTCTTGCAGCCCAATGTTACGGATGTCCTTCATCGTCTTTTCATCACGGGGAGTCACAGTGATGAAGCTGACAGAAGACAGGTAAATGTTTTTTTGTTTTTTAATGAAGAACATGGAGGGTGGAGTTGAAGAGATGTGGTGAACTTTGGGTTACTTCACTCGATGGGCAGTTCCCTGGAGAAAAAACTGGTTGAAAAGTGGGCATAGATAGTATTTAACTAGCAGTTCCCCCTTTTTCTATGGGGGGGGAACCCCTCAAGGCAAAGTTTGAGAGAAGAAGAGATTGGATTTATACCCCGCCCTTCACTACCCAAAGAAGTCTCAGAGCAGCTTACAACCTGCTTTCCCTTCCCTTCCTTACAACAGACACCCTGTGAAGTAGGTGGGGCTGAGAGAGCTCTTCCAAGGACTGCTCATGAAAGAACAGCTCTGAGAGAACTTGTAACCGACCCAAGGTCACACCGGCAGCTGCATGTGGAGAAGTGGGGAATCCAACCTGGTTCTCCCAGATTAGAGTCCGCGCTCCTAACCGCTAGACCAAACTAGCTCTCTCCAGTGGCATCTTTAAAACCAACAAAATTTAATTCTGGGCATAAGCTTTCCTGTGCAGGCACACTCCTGTAGGCCAACACGGCTACCCACCGGAATCTATCAATCGTTACAACTCTGTGAACATTGTTGAAACACCTAATTGGAGTTTCTGCCAGCTTTACTTAACGTAGAATAAAAGGATATGTGGAATATTGGGAGCTCTGACAGAACTGGAGGATTTCGGGACGGGAACCCCACACGTGTTCTGGGTGGGGCATTGTGTATAGCCTGGAAGAGGGGACAGTGTGTGGGTACGGAGTGTGGGAAAGCAGTGTGGAAACCAGAGGACCTGAGTGAGGAAGGCCGAAACCAAGAACCCCGAGGGTCAAGGCTCATTTCCCCAGTCTCCACCTCTCTCCAGCTGCTGGAAAAGAGGAAACTGTGTTTTTCCTGCCCTGGGTCAAGCAACCGTGTGGGCAGAGAGGCCTCTCCTCTGGAAAGCAACACAGATGGGAGGATTCCCGCAGCCTACTGTTTGTTTGTTTGTTTATTTATTATTTAGATGTCTATCTCGCCCTCCCCGCAGGCTCAGAGCGGCTAACCGGGCATAATGCCAGATAAAACAATAAGACAATATAAAATGTTAAATTACACATAGACAAATAACAAACAATTAAATAACATCCTAAAACCATTTTGGTGCTCCACTATTCGCTTCCAGATGTTAAGATTTTTAAAAGCAAGATGGCGTTCTCAGTAACATAGCTAGACAACTACGGCAGTGCATATCCCACTGCCCTACCGTCCCCTAACAGACGTCCCGTTCCCTCCAATGATGCCCACATCAAGATGGCAATATGCGGACTCATAGGGCGTTGATGGAACAGTGATGGTGGCGGCTCCTATTCAAAAGCCTGGCGGAAGAGCTCCGTCTTGCAGGCCCTGCGGAACTGTACTAGGTCCCGCAGAGCCCGGATCTCCTCTGGGAGCTCATTCCACCAGATAGGAGCCGCCACCGAAAATGCCCTAGCCCTGGTCATCGCAAGTTTGGTGGTCCTGGGGCCTGGAACATCCAGGAGATTTAATTTCCCCGACCGAAGTGCCCTTCGGAGAACATGTGGGGAAAGGTGGTCCCCTAGGTAGGCTGGTCTGTTCTGACTGAGCCAGTTCCGTGGGCTCCAGAGTTGCTCTCCCGAGGGGCCCTCCCTTTTCTGTCATTCCGGAAGATTCTCTTGGGATTTGGGGGACTTGCTCTTTCACCCACACGGCAGCAAAAGCAAGCTAAAAAGGGCTTCTCTTCTATTCCAAGGGAAGTCATCCGACGGGGCCTTGCCATTCTGCGGCGAGAAATGCCCGGAGGCGACACGTTCATGCATGAAGGCTTGAAAAGGGTAGGTGCCCCGCTCCCTCGGCACTGTGATTGACACGCAAGCGTTCCCTGCTGCCTTGAAAACAGCAACAATATGTGTGTGTCTTTTGTTGCAGGCAAATGAACAGATTTACCAGGAAAACCATGGAGGTAGGACTGGGTTTTCTGTTCCTACTTCAGGTTTCTTTGAGGAGGAGGACTCTGCAGTATGGCTTTTTTTTTAAAACAGAGATGTGGTCGGAGAAAAGAGCGTGCGGGGCTTGAAAACGCCTCCTGTGTAATTATTTGTCCCCGTTCTATATTATCTTCCCCCTCCCCCCTTTAGAGATAGTGATTTATAGGGGTCATTTCCTGCAGGAGCACACAGGAGCGGAGCTCCGGCAGTAAAGAGCCCAGGGGGTGGGGACATCCAACAAGCCCCACCCCCTGCTCCCAGCAGCCCTCAGTTAGATCAAGAAGCAGCCAGGTAAGCTGCAGAGCCCCCCCCCAGCCCCCCGGTCCAAGACAGTCCAGTGGCACCTTTAAGACCAAGTTTTATTCAGGTACCAGCTCTCCCTCCTCTGTGAGGACAGATCTGCACGTCCCCCCCCCCCAA